TTTAATGGCTTTGCATTTGGTCAGACTGTGTTTACAAGGTTCTTGAAAAGAAATTCCTATTCTTAGTTATTGAATACAACGTTTTATGAAGGCAAATTGGCTTCGTTTTTTAGTCACATCATCCAGATGATCAATGGTTTCATTAATTTGGTAAAGTTTTGTTTATATGGCAGTTTTGGTTAAGCTGGAGCTGTAATTCCCATAAGTCTTTTCCTTAGATGGTGTCAGTGAGATTTGCAAAAGAGGCAGACAGAAGTGAAGCAGCTGCTATTTCCCTCTGGAGATCTTTGCAGACAGACAGATGAAGGACACACAGACAGGAGTCTGGTCTCACTCTTCTCCACTTCATGTCCAGATCTTGCTGACCAGCAGGGAAGCTGGGCTGCAAACTCACAGAAGTAGCTTTAGGGAAGCAATGACCTTCCAAAGACTCCTTCATTCGCCCTCCTTCCCAGTCTCACTTCAGCTCTTGAATATCCGGTAAGTGCTCCAATTTGTCCACCAACCGCAGTGTTCCAGGAGAGGTGAACAGTGCCTTTCTCTGACCCTCCAAATCTCCCTTCCACACCATTGCTTCCCACTTTCACGTTTCAAAAGTCCTATTTTTCTATAACAAATTCTTTATTCTATAATATTCATAGTTTCGCTGTCCTGATTAAATTCTTAAATGTGTCTTTCTTACAGAGAATGTGATGGAGTCACCTTGACTTCTGACCAGTGTGCAGTTTTCTTTTACTTTATCCTCTCTCTTTTTTTAATTAAGTAGAAACTACAAGTCTAGGGCTCTTAAGGAATAAGATCTGGATTACTTCTGCACACTGCAGAATTAAAACAGTTCTATGAACTTGGAAATCCCTAGTCTACCTGCCTTGACATACCTCCTTGATGAATTGGAATGACAAGTTTGAGAGTTATTATGAAAAAGTGCTTTAGGCTAGGAAATATGGCATTCTGAGGAAATTCTTGAGTAAAATGTAACTTGGGAGATTTTTTAAAGCTCTTCTCCCAAAGATTTTGTTCCTCGAGATCTGTGATAGGACCAAGGGGTATGAATTTCTCACAAATATCCCAGGTAATTCCAAGGTATGTGGATGTGGGTTTCTTTTTCAGAAAGATGGGATTTTTATTCACAATATATCTCAACATACTATTTTTCTCCTGGGGCTTTCTCTTCACCTTTATCAACTTCCCAAAGTAGAAAAAAACAAAGAGGCAAAACAACAAAAAGTACCACTTTCTCCAAATTTTCTGGACCATGCAGCCTCTTATTTTGAGGAATTTACATCTCTAAATGTCACAAACATGTAATCTGGTGAATTAAACATGTTACATGTAATGCATTTAATGTTTCTAAACAAAAAGAGGCTTACAAATCTTTTGAGAGCACTCAAATTCAGAATTACCATCAAAGTTTACTGTAAGAATAAACTGAATTCATGTCAAAATATTACTTTATTCACTGCATGAGTTTGAATCTCTTGAGATTTACGTATGTGTTACTAAAGAGCAACTTTCCCTGTGTAACCCCATACACATCTCCTCGGGGGAGGGAAAAAAACGGAAGAAAGAAAAGAAAAAAGAGCACCTATTTTCTTGGTTAACCATGGCACAAAATCACTTACAGGAAAGACATTCCTAGTCAAATGTTTTTTGGGGGGGAATGGAAGAAGGTATCTCATATACATTGAACTGTGCTATTCTTTTTAATATTTTCATGAATTTTTACATAGTTGGAATAACTGACATACTTGAATTATCACACATAAAGCAGAAGAGTAAAAATTTGTCTAGAAAAAGAATAACATAATAGTTACGGTGAATCGTGGTAGCGGACTTCAAAGCCTAGCCAATGGTACTTCTGGAAATGCTCTTTTCCCTGTTAACATTCTTTGATAACATAATAACTATTGCTAATTAAAAACAACTATTATAGAGAGGTTCTTTCAAAACCGCAGATTCCCCTTTTGAATGGGCAGTACAAACTCCTCACCCCCGACTGCAGTCAATCAACAGAGATTCACAGCTGTGCATAGCACCTCACGGTACACAAAATCATTTGGGAATCCAAGTTTTACTTTTGACCTGGAACAGTTTTCAACTTGAAACTTCTTTGGCTTTCTCTCATCCTCACTAAGATGGCTTAGGGGAGACGTTCCTCTTACCACCCACAGCTGCACCACGCTTCCTCCACAAATGTCTTGCCCATGGAAGCACGCATAGCTTTAGAAGGACGGAATTCTATCTCATTCATTCTCTGTCCCTCCTCTTCTTTATCATCTTTGTTCCATCTTCTCCTTGATAACTTGCTTAATGGCTTAGTTAAGAGAAGAATCTTAAAGCCAAGAGGAGTCATGGGATGCAGCAAAAATAGGACAGCATTCCATCTAATTAAGATATTCCCTTCTTGATGGATTCCTCTAAAATAAATGTTTTGAAGAGGATTCTTCTTGTGTGCAAAGAAAAACTGATGAAGGAAAGGATTAGAGATGACATTTGAAAGAGTTATGTAATTTGTTTTGTTTTGTTTTGTTTTTGCACTTAAAATTATTTCAAGTAAAATCTCAAAATCCCAATGTTTCCTGGAACATTTCTGAAAAAAATAAGTATGGATTTGATCAGATGATAAAAACATCAGCCAGGATGATAAATACCAACTTACATTTGGTAGTCAGGTGCTCTTAATTCAGCTCTCCCATAATAACATGAGTTTAATTAGATAAGCCAAATCTACCTGAATTGATTTGACTTTAAATTTTGGTTAGCAAGCTTTTATGAAAGTGAGGGATACTTGTATCTCATTTTAAAATCTGTGAAACAAGGAGAAATTTCTTGGTAGAAAATGGAAACATGGATACAAAGTATTTGTCAACATTTTAAAAGGAAATATCTACCAATCATAGGAACTATTTACTTGTCTTAAAACTATTTCCTCTCTTACTAGTTTCTCCATACATTCTAGAAACCCGACGCTGGAGTTGGTTTGTTTTCAAGATTGCAGTGTACAGATAACTTTGAGTTAAATTTGTCTTTATTTATCTCAACGCTCTAGGTCTATAAATACTGTTAAGCCATACAAACTAAAACTCATAACCAAGAAACCAATTTCCACACTCTTCCTTATTTTTATTAGCACCTAGGAAGAAAGCAACATGTATGAACTGTGCAAAGGGACAACACCGTAGTAACACAGAGTTTGATATGACAAGCCAAAGATACTGCATCTGTGGCTTATTTCATAGTAACCCTGACTGGTGTTCTCAAGCAAGAAATAAGTCTCCTCCTCCTATGAAATCATTCTTTAATATGAGATCATTTTAAATTACACAAAAATGTTTTTTATAAAATCTACCCAGTGGATGACAAGTCATTACTGCCAAAATTGGGGTAACTGTCTCATGGTTTTGTAAAATTCATAATCCTCATTTCTACATGCTTAATATTGATCATTATTTAATACTACCTGCCATATACTTAATATTAGCAATTCTACAAAAATGTATTAGTATCAAATAATGAAACTGCTTTAAAAAATATCTTGTGATAAAGTTTCTTCTTTGGTATGCAATTAAAAAAACACTATTCTTTTGGAACTGAAGTGTAATTTGAAGCTAGAGATGCAAGTACTATATCTGAACAGTATCTCTCACTTTATAGTGTTAAAAATATATACTTTTTTTATGAGAAAGAAGAACTGGTGTACATGTGCCATGGGCCTAAGTATGAGAGAAATAATGCAATTAATTTTTTTCCACTTAGCTATCAAATCCATCACCCCCTTCTTACTTGGTTGATCTACTTTTGGTGTTAAACTCTGTGACTGATGTTAAATTGACAATTTCTCTAAAACAAGCTAAGATTTGAGATGTCACATCACGTCAGATGAACAGCACAACCACTTCTTGTGTGTCAAAGGCATAGGGACAAGGCACTGAGCTTGTATGAAATGATGCATCAATAGAAAACAGTGTAAACTCATTAAAAGATTCAAGATTGCTTTAAACAGAGAGATCAAATTTCATAAACAACTTGTACCTAACTTATACAAAGAGCTAATACTCAAACAGGCTTCATGATGCAAAATACGCATTGTAGAAGAAAAATGATTTTTAAAAATAATTCAACGATTTTTTTCAGATTAAGGTCAATAAATTAATCAATATTCATTGTCTTGCATTCGTTAACTACTAAGAAGACCCATTTACTTCTCTATAATAGCTTTCATTTACTTGAAGAACTGAAGCAACCTAACAACTTCTTAATGCTGTTTTCCAGATAAGACAATTCAGCCTTGAAACTACTGTTACCAAAATGTTGTCTTTAAAGAACAGAGTTGTTAGTCTTTTGTTGAAACCCAAATGTTCAGTCTCTTGAAAAATCAATTCTGCATTGACCCGGAAGGGGAATCTGGGATTCTGATGGAAGTTTAACTTAACTTACTCAGGATGATTTCAGGAACAAACCCATGCCATGATATCTACCCAACATTTTTAATATGTGAGTTTTCTTAAGTCATCTGATTTTGGTTTTTCATTCACATAGTCTGCGATGGCAGGATATACATGGCTCAGGGGGCCTCTTCACTTCCTTTCTTTTTGTCCCAACATTTTTCTTGATGGGAAGGAGTTATAAAACAACCCAAGAGAAGACCATGAAAATGTGCAGATGCACTGGAACGTGATGGGGCAGCCCAGGTCCAGCATTTAATTCTAAACTGCAACATTCCATGATTTTCCAATATCCTGATTCAACATGCCCTTTTAACAATCATTTCTAGAACTCCAGAAAACAATATCTGGGGAGAGCTCAGCCAATGAAGTAGACAAGTGGTATTCTTCCAATCTCACAAAGGTGGCCTCTGTAGAAGTGTACAAAAACTTTGAATTAAAAAAGAAGGAAGAGGAGGTGGGGTGAAATTGACACATGCCTTCTGGCCTCTAGCCCAAAACCCAGGGAAAATCGTGAAGCCAGACAGGCAACCAGTTGCTTGCTCATTATGTTGACTAGACTGCTGATTTAGCCAGTTGTGCTTTGTTTTCCTGAATCAAGACTTGTTTGGCAAGTTCGCTAGAATTAATTCTCAAGTTCTCTTTTAATTTGTTAAGCTCAAAGTCATGTAGAATCTTGATAGTCATTAACTTTTCTCGCTTGATTCTGTCCAGAACATCTTTTGGAACATCAGGGATCATCCAGGCCAACAAAAATTTAACTAAAAACACAACATGCTGGAGGAAACATAACAGAAAATCAAGGACACTGTTAGACTTGTCAAATGTTCAACGGGAAATTCTTACAAATCATTCATTCAGTAGACCGTGCTCAACAGAGGAGGCATGAGGAAAAGCAAAAAGATATGGTTCCTGTCCTGGAACTTTCCCAGAAAGACAAACATTAAACAAATAAATATATATGAAAATGTATAATTATAGAAATTCCAGGTAATCATGGTTATTGAATATGCCCTTTATCTGTGCTCACTCCTGAGGACCTAACAAAATATTTGTAAGGGAATTTTAAAAAATGGTGTAACTCACAAAGACAAAAAAAAAAAAAAAAAGAGGGAACAGTGATAACAGACTCAAGAGAGTAAAGAAAGCTGGCACTTAAACTTGCAATTGGTGATATGATGGTGGTAAATCCCAGCAAGTCAAAAGCCAACTTTGTTTAGATCTTCAATAAAGCTCAAGAAAGATGGTCCTAAGGACTTTGAAAGCATACATGTGCGTGGAGTTGAAAACCAGAGGATTAGCCAACATTTGGTATAAGGAAAAGTTGGAATTTTCAGGACCTCTCTCCCATCATCATCTGGGTACTACTTCTCTCCAACCTGGCAGCAAATGAGTAATTTACTCTGTGCAGAAATCAAAACAGAAAGCTGTGAACTCAGGAGCACCAGAGACGGTGGAGGATGGAGGAGTGGCGCCATACTGAAAATAGGGCCACTAAGTGAAATTCGGTGAATCCTAAGATCCTTAGTCTTCTTTGTCTTGCTCAGCTCTCAGAACACAGGCAGCCATAAAAGAGCTCAACAGAAAGGAGTTCGGAGGATTTTTCTCTGGGAAAAGTAAGTAGTCTGTGAAATTAGAACTGCAGATACCAAATTTTGTAGGTTTCAAATGAAAAGGTCCCCTCACTACCTCATCACCCTACAGTGAAACCTACCAAGTGACATTCCTCCTGTATGCACACAAAGCGTATAATCAGCTTTCATTTATTCACTCTTAAGTATGAGCAGATTGCTAAGAATCAGCAAATACGTAAGGAAGTCTCTAATGCAAAAGAAAAAGATTGAAACGGACAAACAGAAACTAAGAGGAAACAGAGATAATGAAGGAGCAAAAGAACAGCAGAATAAAAAGACAAAAACATGAGTTCATCTATTTATAGGAGAGAAAATAATTGCAATTTCAAAACAGGAAGTATAACACCTGAGTAATAGAACTTCCAGAAAGACAGAATAGAGAAAAGAAAGAAATAATTAAAAAAATAATATGTACAAGCAAATTTTCTCAACTTGAAGGGTAAGTACATTTTCAGATCCATAGGGCTCAGCGAGTGTCCAGAAAAATGAGTATTACCCAATAACAAGAAACTGTCTTGTGATGTTTCATAAAAGAAGGACTAGTGAGAGAATCCTTAAAGCTTACTAATTTATAAAAAGATCATAAACAAAGACTGGGGAATTGGAATGGTATTGCATTTTATAACAACATTGAAGCTGACAGAAAATAGTGCAATGTCTTCAGAAATGTCAGGAATACCTAAATAAAGTTGGCTGAAAATTTTTCAGGGAAAATGACTTTCAATCTTGAATCCTATACCATTTAATCATCTCTGAGGAAAGAAAAGAAATGTTCAATATTCAAGGTCTCAACAAATGACCACCCATAATTTTCCTCAGAAAATTACTGAAAAATGTACTTCATCAAAATAAGCTAGTAAACCAAGAATGGGAGAAACACAGACCACAGAAAATATAGTTTTCAATACAAGAGAAGGTGAAGAAAAGTCCCAGGATGATAGTGAGTCAGAGCCTGGCATAATTACAAACATTAATAGAATAATAAATAAAAATCAAAAAATCCCTGGTGCAATTGACCAGACTGAAAGGTGATCTAAACTTATGATGGAAAATATGGGAATGAAAGAGTGATAAAGTCATAAAGAACAGAGAGAGAGAGGAGAGAAGAAAAATATGGGGAGGGATATACATAAGACTGCTCTCTTTTTCATCATGTAGAATTTGTGTGTGCTTGCATTAGACTTGACTACTACTGAACTTCATGGCAGAGTGAAAAAAGTGCCTTACCTTTATTTCTGTCTCCTTTATTGGCCCTCATGTCTTCTGATATAGAACGTCACTTTGAAACTTACCCACATCCCCCACGTGTATTTGTTCTGTTTTAATGCTTGTCCTATATCCATAATAAGATTAGATATTCCACAAAGGGGCAAACATAATATAGTGGACAGAGCAGATGCTTGGGAGTGATACCTCTGGCATCAAAACCCAATTCCAATATTAGCTGATTATCTTTAAACCCACTGCCAATTCTGCTGAGTCTCAGATTCATTTTTCAAGAGTGAATAATAAAGTCTAACTTACAAGGTTATTATTACAGTGTCTGGAACCAGTATGTAATAGCTATTCAGTAAAATCCACGCATTCTCGGTCCTTTTCCTGACCTCGAGGAAAGAGGTCCCATTTTTTCTTTCTTTATGTCACCCTGATATCTTCAACAATAGTAGGTGAATAATAGGCAACAACCCATTGTACTGAAAAAATCCCTAAGTTGCTCTTCAGGACAACGAATACTTCCTTCGAAACAATTTACTGAGATAATACTAATTTTCTGCTGAGCAGATACCTTCAGAAATCTGAAGGGAGAAGACAGACTAACTGGAATGCAAGTTACGAGAGGCTTACTTCCATAACGATGATGAAGGTCATCTTGGCAGCGAGGACATGCCAGTACTGCATATTATGAAAATATTTCTGATCATGATCAGGAGGATATCTGTAATCTCTGTACCTGTAAAACAGAGGTAAATAAAAAAAAAAAATAGCTATAGCTTCAAATAGAGACCTAGCATTATTTCCCTTAAGAGACACTTTTAATTGACTACAAAAGTAAAGTCACAGGAAGTTAACTGCTATTATGATACATTTCATTTTTGCACAGATAAAAATCATGGCTACATGTTACTTAAATATAGTTTGGTAGAGCAGGAGACACAAGTAAAACTTCTCTCCTGCCCTTCAAATTTCTCAAAAGAGTCAGCAAAATTATTCTGTCTCCATTCACTCTCTTGCTACTCCTTAACACACGTAGTTCTATCCACCACTCCACTGAAACACATTGTCTCCTGTCATTAAACTGAAGAAACATGCTAATCTCCATCTTTTGTGATCTTTTGAGACTAGGACTTGACATTGTTGACTGTTTTTATTTTTTTAAAACTCTATTTTCTTTTGGCTTACCTGATACTGCATTGTTTTTATTTTTCTTACTATTCTTCTGGATTTTCTTAGTGCTCAACTTTGTAAGCTCACTGTTTTCTACAAAGTTGCTAGACATTGATATTATTCAAAGATTTAGTCCAACTAGGAAGTGATGAAATCAAGAAAATGGACACATGTCCATGCTCGTAAACACTATATTATGATTCCTCTATATGCAAATCTAAAATCTAACAATGGTTTGGTCTACCTGTGTGTCTACCAACATTTTGCTGTCTCTTGCTGTTTCCCAGATGAAGTAGTTTGCTTAAGGGTTTAAGTTAAGTGGTCTTGATGTACTAGATATGTATTTTATATATATATAATCTTTATGTACTATATATATAATCTTTATGTCATATGTATTTATTATATACAATCTTTAAATCATAGAGTAAAAATGGGTGCCTGGGTGGCTTGGTTGGTTAAGCAACTGCCTTCGGCTCAGGTCATGATCCTGGAGTCCCGGGATCGAGTCCCGCATCGGGCTCCCTGCTCGGCAGGGAGTCTGCTTCTCCCTCTGACCCTCCCCTCTCTCATGTGCTCTCTCTCTCATTCTCTCTCTCAAATAAATAAATAAAATCTTTAAAAAAAAATCATAGAGTAAAAAGACCCTCACAGTACATGGGACGCTCAGTATGGAAACAGGTTCACAAATCTAATTTCATGCTCCCTGCATGGAAGAAACCCTGTACATGGGATGGATGATGAGTTTACCATATTATTTCTCCTTTTCTCAGTCTATCTCTTTTTAAGAACATATAGTTAAATTCAAGTAGGTTAAATGCAGATATAATATGATCATGCTGTATGATCTAATAGATATTTTATCTTGGGACCAAGGGGCATTTGTTGGTGAGAAATCTCTGCTATAAACCTAGAAAATGAGAAACAATTCAAAATTGATATTATTTTTATCCATAATATTCTTTTACTTTTAGACATTCTACTTTTCCAAATCAGATTCATACGATGAGTGAAGTCTAAAATTGATGCACTTGACCCAGGATATTTATTGCCCTAAGTAAATCCTTTGCATCTCAAGCCATGGAGGGCTTAATAAAACTGAAAGCTAAGAAATCAAGAGGAAACCTGCAAGTGATGAAGTCTCGTTTTTCCGAAGGTGCAGTGTGGTTTGGAAAATCAGCTATGAGGAATGTTGACAGGCTGTCATTGACATATCCTCTCATGGGCTCAGTGGCATCTGTTGAATAGGCGTAGTAGTAAACTAAACGGGGAATGATGTCCGATGTAAATGCAACGATAAAAGCCTGAAAGACAAAGCAAGAGGGAAATCTTGAGCTAACGATCTAGTTTTTAAAACGTCTGATTTACATACCTCTCCGTTCCATATGGATGCAAATGATTAAAATGCTATCACAAATTACATTAATATAGGAGTCTTTGGCCTACAACATGAAATAGTTCTTTTCAAGTGTCTGATTAGTACTCCAAGATTTCCCAGCTAGAGAGCGGCCAAGTTGAAAACTGAACCTAAATGTATCTAGCTCCAAAAATCATGCTCTTTCCACCATGCCTTGTTATTTTTTACATCTGTTTCAAAGCACATTTCTACTGTCCTTAACCAAATTCATTTGCCTGAACAAACTTCATTAGCTAGGATGCTATGTGTATACGTGTCTGTGCATGCATGTACGTGCCCTCACACTGGTAGGGGATTGGTGGAGAGGCAATGGAAAGAGAGAAGACAATGTGATGGCTAATTTCCCACAGTTCAGTGCAATTAATTTCAATATTTGATTCTATAGGAATGGTATTTTCCCATCCTTCCCTAAGCTCTGGAATGGTATAAATACCATGTTTCTTTTAGGTTAGGTAAGTCCATTTAAAGCCATCTGGCTCTGCCTTCTACATTTTTAGTGGGAGGTTGTTTTGTTTTGTTTTGTTTTTGTAAAGATTTTATTTATTTGAGAGAGAGAGAGATAGCGGGAGAGAGTATGAGCAGGGGCTAGAGGGAGAAGCAGGCTCCCCACTGAGCAGGGAGCCCAGTGCGCAGGGGGCTGGATCCCAGGACCCTGGGATCATGACCTGAGCCCAAGGCAGACACTTAACCGATTGAGCCACCCAGGTGCCCCTTAGCGGTAGCTTTTTAAAAAACTTTTAATACTACTTTGATAGCTACTGGTCCAATCAGGTTTTCTATCACTTACTGAATAAACTTTGGCAGTTTTTATTTTCTAAAAAGGTAACAATTTCAAAGAGATTTTAAAATTTATTGGAATAAAGGAACATATAACAGTCTCATAATTTTCTCACCTGTATCTTGTAAGTCTTCTTTTCTTGCTGGAGATTTTCAGAGTTCTGTTTATTTTATACATATTTTCAATGAACCAACTCTTGATTCACTTAGGAATTATACTGCTTTTTATTTGTTTTCCAATTTGACTATTTCTGATTATATCTGTATTAATTATTTCTTACTACTTTCTGTTGATTAGTTTTATATTTTCCTTAAGTTTCTGAACTCATGCTTAGCTCATGCTTTCAAGTCCTCTTTTTTAATAATAAAAGCATTTATTGCTATAAATTTTTCTGTAACTGTGGTTTTAGCTAATTCCTATAGGTTTTCATTTTAATTAAGTACTCTTTATATTTCAATTTTGCTTCCTCTTTATATAATAAAGCTTACTTAGAAGTGTGAATGTTAGGTGGTTAGATTTTTTTTAAATTATCTTTATTATCAACTTCAATTTTTATACCATTATTGTATATAAATATATATTGTAAAAATTTCTGCTTTTGGGGAATTTAGTTTTATCATTTTTTAATAAGTGCTCCATAAACATAACATGTAAATGTTGTATACTCTCTATTTGTAGTATACAACATCATGTATAATCAAGCTTTAACTGTATTAGTCAAATCTTTTATATAGCATATTTATATATATAGCTATATTTATATAGCTCAGGTCATGATCCCAGGGTCCTGGGATCCAGCCCCCTGCGCACTGGGCTCCCTGCTCCTCCCTCTACCCCCTGCTCATGCTCTCTCCTGCTCTGTCTCTCTCTCTCAAATAAATAAATAAAATCTTTACAAAAACAAAACAAAACCAAACCTACCACTAAAAATGTAGAAGGCAGAGCCAGATGGTTTTAAATGGACTTACCTAACCTAAAAGAAACATAGTATTTATACCATTCCAGAGCTTAGGGAAGGATGGGAAAATACCATTCCTATAGCATATATACATATTTTCTGTCTACTTTGTCATGTGCTATGAAACTCTATCATGGTATTTCAAGGAGAGTGGTTTTACAATTTTCCTTGTATTTCTAAGAGTTTGCATGTCCTAAATTTCTCTATGTGGTTTAGTGCATAAAAGTGTAAGGATGGGGGGCACCTGGGTGGCTCAGTTGGTTAAGCATCTGATTCTTGATTTCGTCTCAGGTCACGATCTCAGGGTTGTGAGACTAAGCCTGATATCGGGCTCTGTGCTGGGCGTGGAACCTGCTTAAGATTCTCTTTCCCTCTCCCTCTGCTCCTCCCTCCGACCCCCATTCACCCACATGCTCTCTCTCTCTCTAAAAAAAAATAAAGTGTAGGGATGATGTATCGTTATGGACTGTCACCATGATGAAGTTAACACAGGAAAAGATTGAGTTAATAAGCATCATTCATATCCTCCCACCCCCAAGAAAACAAAATAAAATACAAAGCCACCCAAGCAAAATTGGTCCACTTACATTAGTTGCAACAGAAAGGACAGCCATTCCATAAAGAATGTCTTGCCAAACACCTATGCTGTGAGCTTTAGCAGCAACAGGTCTCCTGTACTGAGTCGTAAGTTTCCAGGCGTCCACTCGGATCTCTATAATATTATTCAAGAGAGCAAGAAGAGGAGCCAAAGGAAAAGAGGCCACAAATAATGTAACAAATCCAAACTGGATAACTGTAGGGAAAAAAAGAAAAATTAGTGAACTCATTATTGTGAAGGAGAAAAGGGGGAAGACTTTGCCCAAATCCTGCAATGTCCTCATTTTGGAGGGATCTACACCAGCAAAACACTCCAGGCCTCTTTCAATTTGCCCGCTTCCTCTTCCCCACTGGAAGCATAGCGACTTAGTTACTGGCTAGAACAGAAAGGAGAAACTGGGCATGTACAGCACAGTTCTGTCCTTGCTGTTTCTTTGGACATCTGCTTGTCAGATGATGAAGATGTCAGAGATGAAGAAAGCATCTCTTCTTGTTAGATAAGAGATTCTCTTTATTCTTCTTAAAACATACCATTTTATTAGGGGCTATGTTTAGGTCTACGCTGGTCTAGTCTTAACACTGGTAGTGACACATTAGTGGGGTAATCAAGTTTTTCTATCTTGCTAAACTATGAGATCAGGGATAATGACCGATTCATTTGTATGCTTCCAAGAGCCAGCATGTGTTGGGCATATAAACATATCCAACTACAACAGTGTACAAACTATACTGTTAAAGGTTTGAAGACGCTAACAATTGAAAAGGCAGTGCAAAGGAAGATATTTGAGAATAAATCAGAAAATAAGTCATCTAAAGCATTACAACATATATAAATTACATGTGGGCCAAGGAAATACACAATTTTTTGGAATAAGGTGTTTGTTAAAGTCCTGATCCTCTATCCTATCTTGACATCTTCCTAAATAAATTTTATTCTCTTTCCTCATTAAGACTTAACACCTATGTAAGTTAGCTTCTTTTCCCATTTTTGTTCTTTTGTTTCCAACAATGACGGAGGTACAAGAACGCATTCAACTGGCAGTCCGGGCTTCCCACGTGAGTGGAAACCATATAATAAGAGATATGGGAATGGCTTTCCACTGAAGGGAGAAAGAAAGACTCTTCTATTAGTCCTCTAGTTTTAGATGAATCTCAAGTGTTTCTGGATTTCAACTTTTCTCACAAGAGTTTCTCAGAAGAATTAGCCTTGCCATTTACTAACCCAACTGAACACCTCTACTGAACTAAAAGACAGAAAATTCAGAGGAAGCATTATGTAGAAACAACTCGAATCTTCTGGGTTCAAATACCACATTTTACTTAAAAATCTTTGTGGCACATGGCATAAATTGACCCATCCAAATTTCAGTATCCTCTAAAACAAAATGCAGTGAATAATGAGTACTCTGTGGAATGTTTCAAGATTAGTGATAATGTACATAAAACATCCAGAATAAACTAACTCAGTTGTGCCACAATAAATGGTAGTTAATTTTCTTATGAAACCTTGATTTCATTTTTTAATTGCAGCGATAATCCCTAATGCATTTATGCACAAATGCATTTGATACACAATTAAAAATTACAGCCCTATCATCCCATAAAGCGAGGACTGCCCAATTTTACAACCAGCTGTATGAAACAGACTTCTCTCAATTTGTCCTAAATGCACCTATTTCAATCCAGGTATCATGTATATGTATCACAGTGAAGAATCAGTAGCAATTTCAGGTCATTTTTTCATTCCACCATACTTTTATGGGCCTCGACAGTAAGTAAAGCAAAATGTCCTCCTTAATTCTACCAGAGAAGCAGAGAAGTAACTTGAGAGGAAACATTTAAGTAGACTTTACAAGCAGTCTCCATCATCATCCCTCCTAATATTTCACCTCAAAATCTCTCTGTTCAATCCTTAGCATTTTTTATGCATTTCTTGTGTTCAACATAAACTTCCCCTACACAACTGCTTTTAGCCCACTTCTTTTCAGCCTGAAATTAAAGGACTTACACTAAATGTATGTCAGACTCTGGACATGTCTTTCAACTTGCTCTCTCTCTGGGCTGTCAGTGAGGCAAACAGGAGAGCTATGCAAGCTAATCTGAGACAGGAGTTAAAAAATGATCCTTACTTTATTCGGTTCAACAATCTTAACATTCAGTTGATAGGAAATACATCTCTAACATTGCCGTTTTGAAACTAAACTTCATTCTTCATTCTATCTGGCAAGGAATATATCCATCCACCTGTCTTTTCATCCACCATTCAATGGTTTATTGGACACCTACTAGGTGCAAGGCAGGAAAAAGTATTAAGAGCTAAAAAAACTCACTTTACTCAGCCTGACTCTTATGTTTCAAGACTGTGGTTAAAAATTACCTGTTTCTAAATACTCATAGAATAGCCCAAGAGATCCAAAAGTTTCAAGGTCATGATCCTGCTCCCATCGACTGTATAGCTTTTCAGAGTTGGTCCGAGCTTTCCGACGTCTCCACCAATTCAGAACCATACTGTTGGAAGTGATAAAAGTAAATACATGATTAGAATTTAAAAGACAGGGGTCAGAAAACCAGGGTGTTAAACCTAGAAATTCGTGGTAAGAGAGGTTAAGTAACTTAAGATCACAGAGCAAAGAGAGTGTAACTACAGCTAAAGTCGAAATAAGAATCTAGCGTTCTTTTTACAACACATGCTGAGGTCAAAGTTTTTTATCGACATATTAAGAAAATAAGACAACCCCAACTCTCCCCACGGGAATATATTTACTCAGAGACACTTCTGTTAAAAAGCATGTGGAGGAGAGGGTCACCATAGGACCATTTTTTTGTTTTTTTTTCTATTTAATTTACTAACCTTTATGTTGTCGTGATACTCAGAAGGATGCTCAAGGAAATGAGAAACTGGTTACAAGGGAAAATATATGACAAAGGAAACACAGAGGCCTATCAAACACATGAAAATAAATGCAATAATCCTAAACAAAATATTGCCTAACTAAATTCCATGCTATTTGAAAAATAATGTATCATGGTAATGTTGGATTACTTTAAGGAACAGAAAGGCTTTTTTTTTTTTTTATTAGGAAAGCAATCAATGTAATAAATGACACTAACAGATTTAAGGAGAAAAACATAAAATTATGTTGACTAATGCAGAAAAATGCATTTGATACATTTCAAGCACTATTAAAACCTATTTATGACAGAAAAGCAGGAAAAGAAGGAAATTACCTCAATCTGATCAAAAACACCTACCAAAATCCTGGGGCAAACATCATTCTGAACAGAGAAAAGTTAGAAGCATTCTCTTTAGAATCAATAACAAAATAAGACTTTGCATGATCTTAGTCAAGAATCTATTAGACACAGCGAAGGAAACAACCAACAAAACCAACAAACTATAAAAGGCAACGTACTAAATAGAAGAAGATATTTGCAAATGACATATCCAATAAAGGGTTAGTATCCAAATATATAATGAACTGATATACCTCAACACCCAAAAAACAAATACTCCACTTTAAAAATATCAACATGAACAACCATTTCTCCATAGAAGACACACAGATGGCCAACAGACACATGAAAAAATGCTCAACGTCGCTCATCATCAGGGAAATGCAAATCAAAACCACAATGAGTAATCTCCTCACACCCATCAGAGTGGCTAAAATCAAAAAAGTCAAGAAGTAATAAGTGTTGGCAAGGATGTGGAGAAAAACGAACCCTCTTGCACTGTCAGTGGGAATGCAAATTGGTTCAGCCACTGTGGAAGACAGTATGGAGGTTCCTCAAAAAGTAAAAATGGAACTACCCTATAATCCAGTAATTGCACTAATGGGTATTTTCCCAAAGAATACAAAGACACTAATTCAAAGGGATACATGCACCCCTGTTTATTGCAGCATTATTTACAGGCGCCAAATTATGGAAGCGACCGAAGTGTCCACTGATAGATAAATGAATGGATGAAGAAGATGTGGTAGGAGCACCTGCGTGGCTCAGTTTGTTGAGTGTCTGACTCTTGATTTTGGCTCAGGTCATGATCTCAGGGTTGTGGGACTGAGCCCCTCATCAGCTCCATGCTCAGCGGGGAGTCTGCTTGAGATTCTCTCCCTCTTTCTCTCTCTGCTTCCCCCACCCCGCTTGTTTTCTCTCTTTCTCTCTAAAATAAATAAATCTTTAAAAAAATGATGTGATATGTGTGCATACACACACACTATGGAATATTATTCAGCCATAAAAAGAATGGAATCTTGACATTTACAAAAATGTGGATAAATCTAGAGAGCATAATGCTAAGCAAAACAAGTCAGAGAAAGACAAGTACCATAGGATATTACTCATATGGGGAATTTAAGAAACAAAAAGGAAAAAAAAAAAAAAGAGAGGGACAAATAAAAAAACCAGACTCTTAACTGCGGAGAACAAACAAATGGTTACCAGAGAGGAGGTGAGTGAAGGAAAGGGTGAAATAGGTGAAAGGGATTAAGAGTACACTTATCTTGATGAGCACTGGGTAATATACGGAATTATGGAATGACTATCTTGTACACCTAAAATGAATATAACACTGTATGTTAACCACATAAATTAAAATTAAAAAAGAAGTCATCTTATGTCAATAAAGTAGCACTATGCCGAGCAAGCGTTATGAATTCATGGTCAATTTAATTAATAATTTTCTGCAAAAAACAAAAAGAGAGAGAGAATCTACAGGAGATTTTAGCACAGCAAGATGAAAAAGAAAAAGGCAAAAGGATTGGAAATGAAGAGAAGAAATCTCTGACTCAGATAAACAGTCATGTGAATGAACTGCCTGCTTAGAAAACCCAAATGAAATTAGATAAGAATTATTAGAAAAAATAATGGAGTTTATCTACATATTTTATTCCTACATACCCACAAAACACAAGTAGAAAACATAATTTTTAAAAAGATATCATTTACAATAGCAACTAAGATTGAAAGTACCTTTAGATGGATTTGATAAAAGATCTATAAGACCTATATGCAGAAGTTTAAATCTTTATTTAAAGTCATTAAAGTCCAAAATAAACATTCATGAAATAAAAAGACTTGGTATGAAAATGGCAGTTGTTTTACTGAAACAACTGAAATGTAATTTCAATCAAAAAACCAAAATACTTTTCCACGTGGGGTCTGACAAGATGTTTTTAAAATCTGTACAGCAAGACAAAAGACAAAAGATAGCCAATATATTTCTATAGATGAAGAATAAGTTGGTAAGACTTGACCCACCAGAGATCAAGACTTATTATTAAGCTGTATTAAGAGAGTATAGTATTGGTAACAAGGATAGACAAATCCTGGAACAGAATGGAAATAGTACTAGCCTTGCACTTGCTATATGGCATAAGGTAGTACTGTAGATCATGAAAACTGGAGAAGAGGAACTTCTCAGTAAATGGTAAACACAACAATTACATATCTCTGTGTATGTGGGAAAGAAATTAAATTTGAACTTCGTATCAAACACAAAAATCTTTTCCATGTATATTCAAATTTTAAAAGATAAAGACAATAATGTAAAAATGTTAAAAATTTAGAAGTATATGAGAACATCTTTTTGATCTTGGGGTAGGGAAGGATTTATTAAATAAGTCTTGAAAAATGCTAACCCATAAAAGAAGAGATTGGTAAATTCTACTGGATTAAAAGAATATTCTTTTATCCATCTATACCAGAGGTTCCCTAGAGAGTGATTTAGCCCACAAGGGTACATTTGCAATGTCAGAGACATTTTTGGTTGTCACAGCTGGGGAGAAGGTAGGCTACTGGCATCTAGTCTGTATAGAGTCCAAGGATGTGGCTAAACCTCTTACAATGCAGAGGACAGCCCCCTACAACACAGAATTATCTGGCCCAAATTGTCAGTAGTGCTGGGGTTGAGAAATATAAAGAGACAAAATTTATGTTCGGGTAACATATACACAACACATATGACCAAATCCCAAACAAAAACAGTCACCAGAAGTTATAAAGTATTCCTACAAACCAATTAGAAAAGGATATATCGGTAGAAAAATGGTTAAACAACACCAAAAAGCGTTTCATTGAAGAGGAAACACAGTGGCTAAAACTGCTCATTCATGTTATTAATCAGGGACATGCAAAATAAGACCAAAGTGAGATATCATTTGTACTTTCCAAATTTGTAAAATTTGAAGTACTATAGCAAATGTACATTAAAATGACACTTACATGCTACTTTATATCCAAACTGAAAGACAAGGAGGAAGGGCACAGAACACCTGAGATTTTTCAGACAATATCAAAAAGATGGGCATACATGGAACTGGAATCACAAAGAAAAGGGGATCACCCAGTTTGAGCAAGAAAATCTCCCAGGAACCCCAGGAGCACTTCCATTTACTAACTCCTCAGTCCCCACATAGTAACCGTTATCTTGAATTTTACAATAAGTACTTCCTTGCTTTCCTAAATATGGTTTGATGATCTATGATCCATTTTCAGTTAATTTTTAAATGAGGTGTAAGGTTTAAAACAAGTTTTGCTATTTTGCAAATGGAGGTCCAACTGGTCCAGCATGAGTTGCTGAAAAGACTGTTCTTTCTTCAATGAGCTGCTTTTGCACCTTTGTCAAAAATAAAATGGCCGTATTTATGTAGATTTATTTCTGCAATCCCTACTCTGTTCTGTTAATACAAATATGTATCCTTTCACCAATCCCAACATCTTGATTAATACAGTTTTATAGTAAGCCTTAAAATGGAGTAGTACAATTTTTCCAACTTTATTTTTTATCAGAATTGTTTTGCTTATTTTAGCTCTTCATCTTCTATATAAATTCTAGAATCTGCTTGTCTATATGCACAGAAAGAAATTCTGCTGATATTATGACTTGAATAACAAAACTATATATCAACTTGGGGGCTAACTGGCATCTTTACTAATTTGAGTCTTCCAATACGTGAACACAACATTTCTCTCCATTCATATAGATTAAAAAATTTTTTCCCATCAGGATCTGTAGTTTTCAGCATACAAATCCCATATATTTTTTAGATTGATATCAAAGTATTTCATTTTTTTGGTGCTAACTACCTCTGTACTGATCAATGTTTCTTGCACCCCAAACTTTCATTCTGTATTCTTTTCTTGCTCAACTACACCTTTCAGTGACGGTCTATGAACATAAACTCTTGTTTTTATGTCTAGAAGTTGTCTTTGTTTCACCTGCACTTTATACATTAGTTAAACTGGTTTTAGAAATCTAAGGTGCACATTAATTTTACTGAGAATCTTGAAAATACTCTGTCTTCTGTATCTAATGCAAGGAGTAAGAAATCTGTGGACAGTGTAGATGATATTGTTTTTTCTCCTGAAAGATTTTAAGGTTGTTTAGCTCTCATGTTCCGGAGTTACACCATAATGTATCTGGGTGTGAGTTTAATTTTATTTATCTTACTTCATACTCCAAATTCTTTTTCATTTCTGAAACTCATGTTTTTCTTCATTTCTGGAAAATTTTCAGGAATTACCTATTCAGAGAATTGGTAATGTATCTGGGTGTGAGTTTAAATTTATCTTACTTCATACTCCAAATTCTTTTTCATCTCTGAAACTCATGTTTTTCTTCATTTCTGGAGAATTTTCAGCAATTACCTATTCAGAGAATTGGTAAGAAAGAACTGGTGAAAGAATTTTTTCCTCCACCATTTACTCAATTCTCTTTTTCTGGAACTACTAGTAAGTTAATACGGAAGCCTTTTAATATAATATAGCTTCCTGTCACTTCAATGTTTTTAATCTCATTGTCACTCTGTTGTATTGTACAATGAGGGAATTTCTCAGTACCATTTTCCAAGTCAATAATTCATTCTTCAATTGTGTCCAATCTGCAATCAATGTCATCTACTGTACTCTTTATTTAAAGTACCATATTTCATTTATGTAGAATTGGTTCTTTTTCATATTAATTTGTTCTTGTTTCATTTATATGTTTTTATTTAAATTATTTCCTGACCCTTTTAAATGACAGTATCACCTCCTTTTTATGTTTTTGGTTTTTTTTTTTTTAAGATTTTATTTATTTATTTGACAGAGAGAGACAAAGCAAGAGAGGGAACACAAGCAGGGGGAGTGGGAGAGGGAGAAGCAGGCTTCCCAAGGAGCAGGGAGCCTGATGCAGGGCTCGATCCCAGGACCCTGAGATCATGACCTGAGCCGAAGGCAGACGCTTAAGGACTGAGCCACCCAGGCACCTCCTCCTTTTATGTTTTTAGGCTTTGCCAGAATCTTCTAGCTAGAGTAAGTTCACTTTCTAAAAACTGATTTTGCTAGTAGCCTTTGTAGCATGAAATGTCCTCCTAAGTTTTGGAATTTTGGTTCGTAGGCTTAATTTTACTTGCTTCTTTTTTCTTTTACTTCCCTGTGTGTCTGTCTCTTTTCCTTTCCGTGAATATTTATTCTCCCTCTTGTGTTTGGTTTAGGAGTTATCCCCATTCTGCCCTCCAGGTTCTCTCTCAATCTACAGTTGGGACTTAAGATAATAGCTTAGAGTTATTTCTCTATGGTAACTGTGATACGGTTTATCACATACTGTTTGCAAAGATATGTCATGTTCTTCCTTTGTCAGCACGTGAAATAGAACCCCAGGAGAACTACTGAACTGTAGGGGGGGTGGGAGCAGAAGAGCAGGGTGTTTTCAACCTTCTTTCATGAAGAGGTGAGAATAAACCTAATCCCTACCTTCAAGTACAGTTACACTGGCCAAGCCCTGGTCTCAAGTGGAGCACTTTAGTCCACTTGATACTATAGGTGCTAAACCTTGAGGCTGTCATTTCCTAACTAGGAGCCCTGCAAGATGACAGGCTTTTGATTCTTTCTCTTTTTATTCATGGAAATTTTCAACTTATATCTGAGATCAACTGTCATTTTGGTTTTCTCTTTTCATAACATATTCATTATTGCTATGCTTTTGGAATAGGAAGCAATCCCTTCATATACCAAAACTTAATTCATGACCAATTTTTGTGCTTAAGTGTGTCCATGTCACAAAAATATTTTTACGGAGTTCAACTTTTAGTAATCTTGAGAAGTAATATGTAACATATAGAATAATGTACAGAGGATAAAACATTTATATTTCCCAATGGAATCTCCATAGGAGAGGGAGATAATACCTTTTCCTCAACTTCACTCAAGCAATAAAAATCCGTATCTAAAAGCCTACATTACATTAGTGCATTCCTAACTGTTGATTAAAAGTGAGTTTTTGTTGAGTTAACCATTTGCTAACATTGATACCATGATAATAAAAGAATTCCATCTTCTTCCAGAGGAAATCTCTCATGGTTACTTGAATCAAGAAAAACTTGTAAGTCATACATACGGATAAATGGCTTCTTTGACATTTCCGAAGATCTGTTTCCCAGTCATTATGATGGTCAACTGGGTTGTCAATTCTATCAGACAGCCTCCAGGATCACACTAGTTAGAAGCAAGAAAAAAAAGAAAAGTGAACGATGAAAGATGGACTTTTGCCAACAAAAGAAATCTCAGACCTGAAGACTAGAATCTGAAGATTTTGATGGGAATGGATATTAAAGGGATATAAAGAGCTCAATAGTTTCAAGCAGGATCACTAACCAGTTACAGGATAGCTGCATTAGATTCAGATTGCTGGGTCTCATTCTTAGAAAATCTTGAACCTTTCTGTCAGGATCAAGGCCAGGAGTTGTTATTTTCTTCATGTGATTTGGATGCAAGGCAGGTATGGAAACCACTGATGTGGTCTAGCTCTATGACCCATGGGAGAGCCCTTCCTGCTCTACTTCTGGAATGCTATCAATTATCCTTTGCAGGACGCCTTCAGGAATACAGAACTCACTTATCCCATTTCATAGCTCATATTTTATTCCTAGATAATAGGCACAAAATAACTGCTTGCCCCAAAGCAACTGGAAAGTCTACCAGATGACAGGATTGTAAGATCAATACTCTCTGTGGAGAGAGTCAGTGTCTTAGACTTCTCTTAAATCTTGATAAAATCTGAGTTAGTGCTGGGCACCCAACAAGTATTTAGTTAAAACTGAGTTCCTGAAGCCACAAGCCTCTCAAGAGAATTCTTACCTCTTCACTTCTCCATACATTAAACAAATATGTGTATTTTCCGGGATAGCCCACGAACTTCCCTTTAAAGAAAGCTACATAGAAGCAGGACGAGTAAAAATTCACAAACTGAAACAGGAACATTTTCAAGGTAAGACTGCTCTCATATTCCTGGTAAGTTCGAGGAATTTCTGTTAAGTAATAAAACACCAAGGTTAAATTATGCACCTTCCTGTTTCTCCCTCAATTCTGTATTATCTGGGACAAGTCAGATTATTAGTCATATTATTCTGAGAGCCTGTTGAAATATGACCCACTCTTGTCCTAACAGACCAATATTAAGTAACTACAGATTTGTGCTTGGCTTTCTATTAGAGACTTTGTATTAATCTAATCACTGGAGAAGACTAGGAAGCAGTTATTGTTATATTTAGATGGATAAAATACTTCACATGGAGTCACACAGTCAGAATACGGAATTCAACCCTCCTACACTGTTGGTGGGAATGCAAGCTGGTGCAACCACTCTGGAAAACAGTATGGAGGTTCCTCAAAAAGTTGAAAATAGAGTTACCCTACGACCCAGCAATTGCACTCCTGGGTATTTACCCCAAAGATGGTTGTCCCTTTAATAGTGAGCTTTTGTTTTGTTTTGTTTTGTTTTGGTTGAGCCAATATGCCTTAACTCCCTGTTTTCTTTTCTCATTCTGGCTTCCTTGGATGATCTTCCAAAGAATTACTTACATTTAAATCCTTGTATCACACATTGATTTCTGACACCTTAGATTATGTATGACTTTTAAACTTCTATACTTTCTAATGTAAAGTCTTAAAGCTCTAAAATCCCTCTAAAGTAACCCTTGAGCTGCATCTCAGATGAAGGAGGAGAGATGAAGTGTGGTATTTTTATGATTCTATTCTAGGTCATTTTAATGTCCGTTATGATTGTTTCATTGATGAAAACGTTTAAAAGTGTGTTTGTAAGTTTTTGAATATATTTTTCTAGTTATTATTTACTTATTGAGTTAACTCTTGGGTTATTATGGTTAGGTGATATAGACAGTACAATATTCATCACTTTGATTTTTTTGTACTAAATTTGTATAGTTTAAAATATGCATAATTTTAATAGATTTCTGTATGTACTTCTTAAAAATGTCTATTCTTTAATTTGTATGTGTGTACATGTTATGATACATAATATAGATCTATTAAATCAACCTTGTTTATTGTGCTTTTCAAAATTTTGCATAATTAAATATTTTTGGGCCTGTTTCACTGATTTCTGAAAAAGATATATTAAAATCTTCACTATGTTGGCAGATATTTCTAGTTCTGTTTATATTGTGTATTTTTGTTCTTTATATTTTGAAGCTATATAATTACATTTATATCAGGGTAGAACTGTCACATACTCCTAACTTATGGAAAAATTAAATTATTATAGACTCACTGTCTTTATCCATTTTTGCCTTAAAAATTTTGCTCAATATTAATGGAGCAACCACAATGTTTTGT